GTTTGACAAGATTCATTCCGAATATAATTAGCTAACATGTATTCAACCTCGCTCATGATTTATATTAATCAAATTAATTTCTTGGTCTCCAGACAACGAATAATAGAAGTATTTATTGTTGGTCGATGTGAATATAAAATATTAGCTAGTCGTTGTCGTTTACAAAGTAACTTGATATTAATTCTACAGTTCCATGCTGCCAATTTTTAGCGAAGGGTAATGTGTTGAAGAGTTTTGTCAGGTAAAAAAGATTATTCCATCATACTCAAAGCAAGCAAACCAGATGACACTGTAATTTTGAGACGATTCATGGCATAAGTCTGAATGAACTAGGATGATCTTAACCGATATCCCAAAAATCCACGTGAAAGAGCCTAAACCTAATGAAATCAGCGCTGGCTTTCAAATCGACAAGAGCAGATACTACACTTAGATCTTCGCTGAAAAAGCCGAGCAGCGATAGCTATTTTATTGTTTTGCTATAAGAAATCTTTATTATAAGATTGACATTTCGCATTTAAAAAAAGTAACAATGAAAATAAAATTAACAATAACACGAGATGATTTTATAATAGTGAATATAGCCATTTGGTATTATGCAGATCGCTATTCAAAAAAATTGATTTATCTCAATCATTGTTCAACTATCTTACATCGAACAAAATTTATCTCTAGAGTTTTTATAAAAATGGTGAGAACCTTGAGATAGTAATCTGAATTACACTAGTTAGGGTGATTCGAATCATTCTAACTGGAGAGAACTTTGAAAACCTCTAGTATTTCTCGAGTAGGTTTTCAAGTATTGTTCCTCAAACAAGAAAATGTTCGTCTCATTTTGCTCTATCTTCTCATGTGAAACGAGGCAAATATGAACTAATTTGATCGATTTTCAATCGAAATAATGAAACATAAACAAAAAAGAACATCTTTTTTTTCGAGTCATCCTTCCTATCTTTGGATGAATATTTCATTTTTATAAAAAGTCTCACGAAACAAAAATAACTCGATGAAAAATAAACTACTCTCTCTTGATAACAAAAAAAAGAATTTGAAACCATCTATCAATTCTCTGAAAATAGAAAATTCTGTTGTGTGGATGAGATTAAAAATACCAAACGTATAATCATTAATTTATGTAATTCTATAGTGTATGTCTCTCTTTCGTTAGTACGTAGATTAACTGTACATGCATTGTTTAATGAATTTGGCTTTGACTATCTCAAGGAAAGATATAATAATTCTGGCTCATATATTCATTATGTTATACGTATTTCTTACATCTTCTCCACAGAAAAGAATACTTGATCTTATGTGGGACACATTTCTCGATGTCCAAACACTTACGATCAACATGTACTTTTTTTTACACAAAATGAGTTAAATCAATTAGTTTGATGTAAATATAGTTTTATAATAATTGAAGATTACAATATACGAGTAGATTATTTTGTTTATGATATACTTATAGTATATTTCTCATAGAAAATGAATATTCTGAAACAAGTCAAAACAATTTCAATTCAACATTATACTGACAATCTTTATTATGATGGTATTAAGAATGCTATAGATTTTTTTATTTCACAATAAAGCATGTCCTTCAGACCATTTTTCACGGCGATATTTCTTTTGTTTTTCTGACTTTGTTACATCTAACTATACCATCATTCGAGATCATGAGTATTTGACATATGGAAATCTTGGTTTATTAAATTCATGTAGAATTATTCTATAAATATTTATTTAAAATGAAAAGTGTTATTGATAAATTTTATATGTCAGAAGAAATTAGTGCTAATTATTTTCAGTTCTTTTCTTTCTTTGTTATTACATAATTGCATTATCGTCTAAGATAATATTTATAGAAATATCATGACATTTGTCGATCTCTATAAGAGATGATTCTATTTAATTTTCAAGTTTGATTGAAAATTGTTCAAAGTTCTATGCATATTGTTTTCTTTTTCTTTTATTAAAATCATCATAATTGGTATACTCGAATGATGATAACATACAATACAATAGTCATTCACACTCTGGTGTCTTTTTTGTTTTTGATTTGTTTTTACAAAAAGAAATTATTTTCCTAATTCATTTCCCTATTATGATTGAATGCTTCATTTTTAGGAGAAAGATAAAGTTTTTATTTTTGTCTTTGCTCATAAACCTTTTCGAAATCTCAAGAATATAAAACATCCTTGAAATATCGATGACAAACGAAAGAAATTTTAAAATATTTTTTTCTTCAAAAAATACCTTTTTTATCATTTTTATGATAGTTGTTGTTTTAATTTATTTTTCAATCTTCTCAGGTTATAGCATTTTATTTTTCAAAATATCTTCTACAAAATGAAACTGATTGATTGATGAAATCCTAGCAAAACGAAAAACAAAAAGAAATTGACGTTTCTCTATAAATGAGGGCAGTCGAATAAGTATTTATTTATCGATAAATCCAAAATATAATGATTTCGTAATATAATATGTTCTTGTCTCAAAAATGAATTTTTAGAATTAGTAGTTTTTTTCCACTCTGCCTTACATACAGTCTTTTGATAGATAAAAGGAAACGTAAAATTGTATGAGTAACTTAACCTTGCTTTTCTTTTTAAATTTCAAAAGAAAGAGAAAATGTAATCAGAAAATTTTATAATTTATTAGATGATATCTATAGAAAGTAAAATTATCAGTTATTGCCTTTCTTTTGTTTTATAAAAAATTTAAACATTTCTTAGTTTCACGTACATAACCAAACTTCTAGTGTACTGTAATGGTTCATCTTTATATAAGGACTCAAGACAAGTTAATTCATCAACTCGAGTTGATTTTAATGAAGACTTCTCGTTTGATTACAAAGCCTGATTCATTGAACATATTAACTTTGTAGAAAATGTAATCTTCATTTTAAGAATAGTTGAGATATTGACATGGGTATAATCATCAAAATCTGCCATAAGATAAAATTGAATTTTCTTAGTTATTATGTATCCATTATGAGTAGACAATAAATGTAATAAAGGAGTAATTATCATTCACTTATTATGAAGGATAATTGTATAAAATAAATCTTTTCGATAAGCACGTTCTGTAAATATCACAACAAACTATCAATAACCTGTATTACTGACTTTTATATATGTATTCAATTGCATTCACAAATTCAGGGAAATAGTGATGAATATAAAACTCTCAAAATTATTTTCAATATTAGATTTAATCATTTCGTGATAGTGGATATATAAAAAACACAACGAATGTTGAGGGTCACGCACCAGAAGTCATGAATTCCTCTCAAAATATACAACTGATTATACAGTATATATTACCGTTTTTATTTTCTTTTCCAGATATATCTATAGAAAAAAAATTATTCATTTTACAGATTATGAATAGAAAACAGTGATACAGAAACGATACTATTTCTAGCTTTTGGGAATAGGTTTTTATACTAAACTGCATACGATAATATGTTAGTAGAAAGAATGAATTGAGTTTAGATTTTATAAGCACTATCATTTTTACACATTTCACTTTCTTTTGAACGTAATCTAATGTAATGGGTAAAGACAAGAGGAATGTCGTGTTCTCACTTCATTTTGTGACAACTTTTTCTTTCGATTTGAACAATGTATCGCTTGTCACAAGGTGCAAGTGAAATCGATTAATTGATCATATCATCTGAATCATGAAAATTGAGAAAATATAAGAAAGAACATAATTGTTTTGTTCATTGAAAATTCCAAAAACTAAATGCTTTTATTGTTCAAATCTATTCGGTTTGTTTAAATATTCACAACTATTGATCAATGAAATAGATAATTGTTTCTAATTACTGAAAAAAATCACTGTCTGAAATTATATCATATACTTAAAATTAAACGAAGTATATTCTGTGTTTTTATAGATTGCAACTTCATAGACGATAAAAACAAATCTGAGTAATAAATAAACTTGTCAATCTGATGATTTCATGATAGTAATAGACCATTGTAGGTGTATTCGTGTATTTCATATTATTTTTTTCTCTCTTACAAAAATTGTTCAACAGATAAAAGAACTTCCTTTTGTTTTCATAGTATTTAGTTTATTCAAATCTTTCATCAAATTATTGTCGGTATATTCTTTGTTTCGATTGGATGGGGATGTTATGAAGTTTCATAAAAAATAAAACATACTCAACAACTTATTTATGCATTTTTCTCGTTAAGTTTTGATGTTTTTGAAAATAATAGATGCCTTTTTGGAGATATATCTGTTGTCCATAATTTTATAAAGCCAATTAGAAAAATTATTAATTAAATAGGTATATACACAGCTAAAGGCCTACATAGCTAGACTAGAATATTTTTTATTAGAATTATCTTGATTTTCGTAATTGATATGACAAAGAACAAATTGATTTTTTTGTTTCTGATTTTTTTTGCCGATTGCGTTATGAAATGAACTGATGTATTTATCGAGTATTTGTAAAAGGGACACTTTTATTGCGATATTTATTTTGTTTTTCTTTCCAAAAAAAGTGAACGAACGTGAGTAAATAATAGGTGAAAAAATGTACAAGCAAGACATTTCATTTGAAGAGAGCTTGTTACAATGCATAATTGAACTAAAGAAATAATAAAATAATGTATAAAAGGAAATTACTAAGATTATTAGTTAATAAAATTGATCTGAATATGAGGTATCTTTATTTATGCTTTATATTTTATTTATTTAAATCTTATAATTTCAATTAGTTTGTTATCTGTTGACAATAGTAAGAAAATATTTTGTTATACTCGAAGTACGTTAATTTCGTTGACTGAAAAGTGTCTCTGCTTTTTTTAGAAATCAAATTATGTATAGATCAAATATGTGATTTTGTAAAAGAAATCTCAATAATAATAAATCAATTAATTAATAAACCATATATTTCTTTTCTCATTAGACTTTCAATGAAAAAATTTTGATAAAGCTGTGTTAACGTTCTATGCGTGTAAAAGAATTTTCGTAAGAACCATATGTTAAGAAGTATAAGTGAATCTTTGAAAAGTAGAAGAAAAATTTGATCTAAATCATATTTAAAGAAAATTGCAAACGTCCCGCTAGGAAATGATATCCTCCTCGTCACTTTTATGAGAAGTTTCTATCAATAAAAAGGTTTATAATAAAAGACTTATTGACATATTTATATTCGATATATATGATAGAATTCAGATTGATGTTGATGCTTAAAGAATATTTGTGTAAAGTTTTTTGTTTAAAATATCAAGTAACTTCTCCCGATTGTAATGTATTAAACAATGAGTCTTTTGATAAGATTCATAAACAATTTTCTTTATGTTCTAATATTTATTCAAATTTAATTTATATTTCTTTTTTCAAATGACCTCAGTTCAATTCAAATAGTCATTAGTCCAGAAATCTTACTCATATGAACTCCTGATCGCAAGATTCAATTAGTATGATTAGGTACAACAGATCAGGCATCATATGATCATGGTTGCATAAGAAGAAAATAATTTTTGAATTTTTATATCAAGACAGACGAACTGTTTGCCAGTATTTTCATATGAAGAAATCAAATATGATTTTTTTAATATTAACCTCTTTGTATATCTGTTGTGTCTGTTATTTATTTGATTAAATTAGTAAATTGAATGAAGACATTAATAATTGTTTTCTTATTCAAATGATTAATGTGGAAAATCAGCTATTGTAATCAATTTAAATTAAATAGTCTGGTTGCTTTGCCTTTTATTTTGAAGAAAATTCATTTCCAGAAAAAAGTGCATTTTGATCAGAGATTTCTCTTTAGGTTCTCTAATAGTGTAGAGCTAAGTTCAAATTTGGGTGTGGGTGTAGATAAAGAGAAGATCCCTACCCACACCCACACCCTTCAAAAAAATTTCTTCAAAAGAAAATTTTTATCAAGATTAAATAACAGGAAAATTAGAAGCTGTTGGAGATACAGTAGAACCATTTCATTTTATTTTACATCCAAAAGATGAACAAAGTTTAACTCGTGAAAACCAAGATAAAGGAAAAGAATTATATTCACTTTTAGTTCAACATGAAATTATTCAAGGAGATACAATAAGAAAAAGATTTCGAAATAATTCACAAGAGCGAGATAAAATAGAAAAGATAATTCGAAATGATCTTGATCCTTCGATTGCCGATCCATTAATTAGTTTATTAAATAGTAAATCTTCTTTTGAAAAAAAAGATTTCGACGATATTGTTTGTTATAGTGAAGAATTATGGCAAACTTTAAATATAAATAGAATAGAAAAAGAATTACCATGGATATATGAAAATGTTTGGAAAGATTTAGAAGATAAAATAGATCCACAACAAGTTAATATTTCTCTATTTGAACAATCAATAGAAAGGAAAATATGCGAAAATTAAATTTAATGATAATGGTCATGAAACAAAAGATCTTAAAACATTTTTAATAGAATTAAAAGATAATATTAGTCAACAAAATCAATATTTTTATCAACACAGATTTACCATTTACTACTAAAGAAGAAGAAGGAAATAATATTCGAATTTATCTAAAAGAAAAAAATATTTTAAAGTTTGGTGGACTTGCCAAATATAAATATGGAGATATTAAAAGAAATATTGAAAGAATTTTAAATAAAATTTTAAAAAATACTCAATTTGAAAATGATAAAGAATTAATTTTGTCGAAAATTTTGTCTTTACAAGGAGATATTCGTTCATTTAAAACAGGTTTAAAAGCTAATTTAAAAGATTTTATAGATCTTCAAGATCAAGAAAATGTTTCAAGTGAATTAAGATTTTTTTGAAGGTTTTAATCTTAATAAATTTTTGATTATTGAAGAAGATAAATCTTGGTGGGATTGGAATGCTTTTGCCGTTGCAATGATAGGACTTGTTCAAGTCATTGCCGAAGCTGTTTTAGTAGCCTTTGGTTTGACTCAGATAGGCAATGCTTTAATATCAGGTATTTTTAGTTGGAAAGAATGGGCAATACAAAAAGCAATTAGCTTCGGTCTCTCTATGTTGACTGCTGGAATTGGAAAGTTTTTGACGGATAAAATTATGGAACAGATTCAAGAAAATGTTATACAAAAGATTGTTAGTAAAATAGAAGAAAATTTATTAAAGGAAATAATCGGTTTAATAAATAATAAAGTAGAAACTCTTTATCTTCAAAGTAAAAATGAAGAAGTGTTCGAAAAATCTTTTGAAAAATTGAAAAAACATATTAGAAAAAACACTAGGAAAAGATATTTTATTACCTCAACAATGTGATAATATTCGAACACGAGTTGTATCTTCTTTAAGAAATAGTTATCCTCTATTTGCTGATGGTCTAAAGAAATCAAATTCAAAATACGTTAAAATGGCTGCTACTACTCTTAAAGCAATAGATATCATTAATAAGTTGTGGACTGTAGTTCAATCTGTCTTACAGTTCGAACATGTCTTTATAATACTTTAAAAGATATTATTGAAGGTACTACCAAAGAAAATCAGAATATTTATAGAAAAAAACATTAATCAGAATCTTGTCGAAACAAGAGCACAACAATTGAATAGAATCATTAGAGAATATATATATATCAACTAAATTAACAAAATAATTAGATAAAGTAGTCACAATGTAATGGAAAAAAATCCAGCTAATATATTGAAACAATCGAATCAAAATAGACAAAATCATGCAGAAAGTCAAATTGCTGTTGAACAATCTCCAGTAAATCAAGATTCAAAGAAAGAATAACAAGATCGAGCGAAAAGAGAAGATCTACAAAATAATATTAGAAATCCAAAACAAATTACTGCAAGTTATTTGAGAGAAGCAAAAGATAAAGATAGAGCTTTAGGTCTGGCTGATATCAAAATGTTAGCAGATCGTAAAAGAAGAAAAATAACTGTTTACAATTCAGATACTGGAGAAAAAGAAATAATAAATCCTTCAGAAGTAAGAAAAATACCTGTTCTTTTTAAACAATCTGCTAAAATCTATTATGAAGCAGGTGAAGATGGAGATATTGGACATTATTTTACTGGTAGAGGAACAGAAACATATATACAGATCAATGAACGGAAAGATTGTTTGCTAATAGCTTATCATGAATCATTAGGTAAAAAAGTAAATGAAAATATTATAGGACAAGAACGAGTATCACTACGCCGTTATACTGCTAAACATTCAGAAAAATATGTTAGAGGTAGATGGGAGATTGATTTGAATAGACGTAATCAGATGATAGGTGGTATAGCAAAGAAAAACCTTTACATCTTCAATCCTATCACTGTAATGCAGGATGGTTCTAGAAAAAGAAATAAAATATAAATTAATACCTGAAGCTATGAAAAAATTAAGGAATGAAAATGATAAACTAGAGGTAATTACGTCTCAGCCATTTCAGGCGGGTACAATAAAGCAAACAGATACTGTTCGCTTAGATGATCAGAATTTTACTGGAAATAGTGACTATGTTAATTTTCAAGTGCAAATAGGTGGACAGAGATATGAACATCAACGTAGGGATGGTGACCGATCAATTCGTCGCGAGTCAATTCGTCGCGTTCAATTCGTCGCAATCAATTAGTCGCACATCAATTCGTCGCAATCTATTCGTCGCATCATTCTCTCATTACATATTTTTTTATGATAGTCAACGGGGAACGCCGATTATTCGAATTAGTTATGTTTAGTAATTTAAAAATACTAAGTAACATGTTTTTCGAGATATTATTCGATGACTGACATGTTGGAGACATATATGTAAAACTTGAAACTTGAATTCAATTGAGTTTTCAAGTTTCAAGTTTCAACTTTCAAGTTACTACGAAAGGACTGGCCGCAAAAGAACTAGCCGTGAAGGGACTGCTCGTGAAAGGAGTGGCCACAATACGACACACATCACATTGCCGCTGCTGTGGGTGCCGCGAAAGAACTGGCCACAAAAGGACTGACCGCGAAGGAACTGACCGCGAAAGGAGGTGCCACACTTCGACACACATCACATCGCACCTGCTGTGGGTGCCGCGAAAGAACTGGCCGCAAAAGGACTGACCGCGAAGGAACTGATCACGAAAGGAGTGGCCACACTACGACGCACATCACATCGCAGCTGCTGTGGGTGCTGCGAAAGGAGTGGCCACACTATGACACACATCACATCGCACTTGCTGTGGGTGCCGTGAAAGGACTGGCCGCAAAAGGACTGACCGCGAAGGGACTGATCGCGAAAGAAGTGGCCACACTATGCGCACATCACATTGCAGCGGCTGTGGGTGCCGCGAAAGGACTGGC